TGCTATAATAAGATTAATAATTACTTATAGTTATAGTTACTATATTGCTTATAGCGTAGTTATATAAAGCTATTATCTTAGTTATAAAGAGATTAATGCTATAGTATAATTAGTATAAGAGGTAACTAAAATAAGATAAGAAATATACCTTAGAATATACTGCTTAGAATTATAAGCAGTATAATAACTTAACTTACTACTCTTATTAATATATTTAAGCTTATTCTTAGTTAAGTTACTTAACTACTTAAGAATATAATTAGCGTAAGAGCTCTTATAGAATGCACTATTAGAAGGCTTTAATAGAGTATCTAAAGCTAAATTACTCTTCTTAGAAGCTAACTTCTGCTAATTAATTTAAGCTAAGGCGCATATGCTTTTTAAATCTAATATCTTAGAGAAATAAGCAGCGTAAGCGTTCTTAAAGTTCTTCTTCTGCGCTAAAGTAGCTATTTTTCTCTTTTACTGCAAAATAGCTAAGTTAGTATAACTAATAGCCTAGAGTTTAAGGTAATTGCAATGTAGAGTACGCATAAGATACTTAAGCACCTCTTAATTAGTAGAACTTACTAGAGCTATAGTTAGCAGATTAAATTCTTAAAGCTAGATAGTAGAGTATTAAAAGATTATAAGGCGTAGAGTAAGATATTAATATTACGCGCGCTAAGGCTAAACGCGCAAGTTAACTAATCTCTATAATAACGCAATAATAAACAGACGCTTACTAATTAATTAATTAGAGTAGAGTAGAAGCAAAGTAATAGCTTATTTATATGCATACTACGTAACGTTATCTTAATTAAATAGAGCAAATTAAGATAGAGAGTATATTGCAGTATTAATATATAAGAATAGTAAAGTACTAATCTACGTAACTAAGCTAACTAAGCTTAGAAAGTAGACTAATATTTCTCTATAATCTATTTATATATTTAAGCTAGCTCTTCTAATATATTAGAAGAGCAGTAATTAATATAATCTTTTCTTTTAAGTTTACTTAGCTATAACACTAAATTACTATAATATAACTACTATTATTAACTTTAATAAAAAGTATACCTAGAGCAATGCTAAGCAACTTATTAACTACTGCGTATAGAAATATAAGTAAGCCTATCTCTAGTATAGCTATATAAAGCGTTAGAAGAATAAGATAAAGGTATAGTTAAAAAACTTTAAAAATATTTATAAGCGCAAGATTACTACTCTAGAAGCTACTATAGCTTAATAGAAGGAACTAGAGTAGTAAGACTCTTACTATAAGAAACTTTAGTAGCAAATTAAGACTCTAATAGAGTAGAATGCAGTAGAGCGCACTATCTAGAAGATAAAGTAGAATAGCAAAGTAGAACCTGCTATCTTAGATAAAATATACTAGAACCTAGAAAATGCAGCGTAGAACTTACTATTTACTATAGAATTAGCGTTAGGCTTTATATCTTTTATAGCAGAATAAGTTATTTAGCTAAATATCTTAATTAACGCAAATAGCAAAGAGATGCATTAAAAGCCTATAGGCTTTTTTATCTTATAGAAAGTAATAAGAGCTCTTTACTATATAAAAAAGAATATAGTAATAGAAATAATTTATACTACTGCCTTAATGCTTAGCATTAAAATAGCACCTTATAGATATTTCTGCCTTAGTATATAAGAAAAGCTCTTAAGAGAAAAGACTAATCTTAAGATAATTAGCACTGCTATCTAGAAGTAATAGAAATAAAAAGTTAAAGATAACTCTAAAAGTACGCTAAGATTAATAAAGTTAGACTAAGCATTACTAGCACTATAAGCTCTTCTCTACTACGCTAGAGATACTATAGTAGAGTATAATAAAAAGAATATCTAACCTACTACTTTAAAAAAGATATTAACGCCTTAGAAAAATAAGAGTACTAAGAGCGTTATTATAGAATTAGAAGCTATGCAAATAGCTTATTAATAATAGAAGGCAGATACTTAGATTAGCGTAGCATCTACCTATAAAGATCTTAAATAAGCATAAGCAATAGATAGCTTATAGTAGCTGTTTACTAACTATAATATCTAGATTCTGCTAACAGCGAAGTTAGTAGTAGATAATAAGTATAATAATGCTTTTATAGTATATTTCTATATAGCTGCTTACGCTACTAGCTTACTTACTCTTTTAAGTATTAATATTAAAAGCTGCATAGAGTGCAGCAAAGAAGGCTTTAACCTCTAAAAGCTTAATTTTGCTATTCTACTACTTATAAACTACCTTTTTCTAGTAGTAGGTAAGAGTATTAATAAGATAGCTTTTCTTATAGATAAGAATCTTAATAGGCTTAGAGTCGTAGACTTAGCTGCAAACTTCTAAAAGTATAGTAAGAGCTTATTTAGTAATAAAGAGGCATAGAAGAAAAGCAAAGACTATATCTATTAGCATATAAACCTGCCTACTTTAATCTCTAAGAAATTAAAGCTTATCGCTCTATCTAACTATTATATAGATAGCCTTATTACTAGAACTAACCTATCTAGCCTAAGAAAATAGGCAGGATTATTAAAACCTATTATTCTGCTTAACCTAGTCTAAAGAGTATACTAGAGATTACTACTCTAGACTACTCTCTACTAGCTCTCTAAGGTAGCAGCAAAGAATAATATCTCTAAATAGAATTATATTATAGCCTTTTACGTTAAATAACTAACTAACGCCTTTAATATTAATTCTAAGATTATAATAGTAGAGAATCTAAAAAATAAGCTAGAAGAAGAAATTCTACTAAAAGTTATTATAGAACGCATTCTTACTACTCTCTCTAATGCTAGCGTAATAAAGAAGAGACTATTTAATCTAAAATCCTACTAGATTATAAAGGCAGATATATTAGCTTATATTAAATTCAAAATAGTCTAGAATATCTTACTAGATATTAAGATGCCTACTAAAAAATGCAAGGTAGACGCTATTAAGGCTTCTAATAGTAGACTTTTCTAAGTTGCCTTAAAAAGAAATAAGGACTAGTAAAGGCACTAAAAAGAAGAAGTCTAAAGAGAATAAGCGAATCTTATTTAAGGACACAAGCTTAAATATTCTAACTCTAGTACTATTACTAAGGAGAACTTTGCCTTTATAGAGAAGAATAAAGAGAACTCTATTCTTAAAGAAATAGACTAGAAGCTTACTAACCTAGCAAACGAATTCTAGAGAGACTATAATAGTTTTATATGCTATAGATAAAAAAATAACTTACGCTCTAAGCTAGGCAAAATTACTCTTAGAGACTGTACGCAGAATAACGTCGTTATCTCTAATACTATAGTTATTCTAGATATTACTAGCCTAAACCTGCTGCTATAGAAAACCTATTATTAAGTACGAAAAGTAGATAAGGCTTTTTCTAAACCTTAAATAAGCCTAGTTAGCAGTAAGAAAAGTTCTCTATAAAGAAGTTAAAAATAATAAATATAATAAGATAACTAAAGAACTTCTACTACTACTAGAAATAGAAGCCTATCTAGGATAATAATAATAGAAGTAGTAAAAATAAGAGTAGTAGAGAGCTATCTAAATAAGCAATCTAAATAAATATGCTAACTTATTAGAACTATACTCTATAGAACTAGTTGCCTATGCTATACACGCAGCTTTTTCTAAAAATATACTTTATAAATTTTTTTAGTTTTCTTAGTAGCTTTACTTTATGCTATAGTATTAACTTTCTAGCGCTACCTTTTTTTAACTATTATAAATAAAATATAGCCTATAGGCTAAAGCCTATGTCTGCTATAGTACCTCTAGCGTAGAACTAGCAACTTTTTTGCTATAACTTACAAAGTTACTTATATAATAAAAAGTTCTATAAAGCAGGACTATAATGCTATAACTACCTGCACTAGCGTAACTTCTGCGCCTATAATGCAGAGCCTATATACTTATCTAAAAATAGGCTAGACTAGTAATTTAAGTTTTTAGAACTATTGCAAATACGCTATAAGAAAAGCTTTTAGCGTGCAATAACTATAGAGAATATAATAACTATATAGACAATATATTAGGTATATAAGATTAGTAAGCTTAGTGCGTTGCTGCTATGCTACTAAGCAAGCCTTATAGCGTTAGCTCTATTTCCTAGCTAAAGCTGCTTGCATGCCTCTCTAGTTAGCTACTAAAATCTAACGCTATAGAAGTTTTCAACTAGCATATAATAACTTTAGTTTTCTAGCCTAGCTTTCTCTATTTTCTTATATCTACTCTGCTAGTAGTAGCGCTACTAGAAGACGCAGTTAGTATAACAGACGCCTACTTAGCTTTTTCTTTTTTTCTATGCTAATCTAGCTTTCTTCTTTCTAGCTATATTTCTAGGCCTGCTTAGCTTTCTTCTTTCTGCGCTATATTCTAGACTATCTTACTAAAAGAATAGCAACTCTATAATTAGTGCATGCTATGCTAGAAGAAAACTAGCGCCTCTAAATAAGGCAAAGAGAGAGAGCTAATAGAGTAGAATTAATAGAGATCCTGCTCTGCGCTATGAGGCTGAGGCCTTAGCGCAGGTATATAGCCTAAGAGACCTAAGATAGCTAGCCCGTTAGATAATATATGCATTACTAACAATACATGCCTATATACTATCTATATTAGTATAGGTTAAGTTAATTTAGGGTTTATATTATGTAATACTTAACTATAACCTAACCTATACCTATTTGCCACCCTGCCTAATTAGTTAGCAAGAAGGATATATATAGGCAGTAAACAGAGACCTTCTTAATAAGAAATATAACTTTATTCAGCACTACATAAATTCTATTCTTATAGGCTAGCCTATAACATATAGAGAATTTTGCATATAAAGTGACTAATGTCTACGAACTTCTTACTATCATCTAATACAGCTTAGCAAGTTAAGTTAAAGCAAGCTATCTTCTATTAACAGTTAGATTCTGTCCTCACCTTCACAGTATTAACTCGTATGTCTCCCTTAGTTTCTATCCTAACATTACGAAACGACATGAAGCTGACAACGTAGACCATGCTTTTCACTAAGCTCCTCCTTCTAGTGGCTGCAGTTGCTACTGCTACACCAGTGGCTACACCAGCGGAAGACGACCCTCATGGACTGAACCTCACGCCGGCGGAGAAGGAACTTATGAAGGATCCTTCGGCATGGCAGTTAACAGAGAATTCCATCGCCGACCGCGTCCAGGAGCTGTCGCCTCGCCAGACTCCGGAGCCATTTCCCATTCCAACCAATAGGTTTGAGGTTGGCTCAGGGGGGGGTATTCGACTGTTCAGTACTTAAGGGGCTGCGTCGCCAGATGATCTCCTTGCTCAGCATTCGCTCGAGCGATGGAACAAGAAATGGAGCCACCTTCGCGAATTGGACGAGTCACGAAAACGTCGACGAGTTCAGACCTCAATCTATTTACCCCATCGATTGGACCACCACAGCTATTGATACCACTGGAGTCCATAACTTCTGCGGCACTCTCCTGGGTTCAGATCCCCCGATTTATTGCGAAGTGGAAATGATGGTCCCGCTCCACGCGCGATGGAACGTGGGGAACAACGTACCAAGGGATGTTGCCTCGTTAAGGCCGACCATGAAAGAAGCCTGCGTAAGGCTTCAGGGCCGCGGAATTTGTCCACCCGGCGGGTTTATACAGAGGGATTGTACTACGAGGTCGTGGTATCAAACTCGTTTCTGATAAGTTTGCAAGGGGCGCAGCATTGGAAGTACATCTAGCGACTTTGGTGAAATTCCGCTAGCTTTGGCTGCATTTAACAGGGAGTTTTTAAGTAGGGGCTACCTTTTCTCCTTAAGTATATAAAACAAAGCAGTATACATAGTTTAAGGCAACAATTGCTCTACAAAATATGCACTTATTCGTAAGCTAGTCGTGATAATAAAAAGAGGCGTTTCGTTTCGCTTTTAGCTAATGACGCAGCTCTTGAGATGCTATTTTAGTAAATTCCTAACCAAACAATTTAACTAGCTGCTTTTCCTACACGCAAAGATTCCTTTGTTTCGTCGCTGATATGATGCCGCAAGATCGCAGAGATTAAGCGTTATAGTCTTACAGCATATCTAGCTTGAAAGACGTGGCTGTAATCTCATTAATGCCGCTTTTCGTGGCGCTGCGCCATACGAGGAACATTCGAGTGAGGACAAGTATGAGCATTGAAAATGTACATTAGAGGTGACTCCAAAGAAAGTGGAAGATCGACCTTATCCTAGCAAGTTATAGGAGAAGCGCTGGTAGAGATTATGACTGCATTTTTTTCCGCCGGGGTGTCTGAAGCTGGCGCGCCGAGTACAAGTTGCTCCGGTGGTCATCAGTGGGTTTTCACTTCTTCTTGCCGTGTGTGAACAAATTGATCCAAGGAAATCCTGACAGTCCTTCAAGACGCGGCAGAGTTGGCCCATTTTGCCTTTCGTGCCTCAGCAGCTGCGCGGTCCTTGTCATTCAGATTCCAGTTGCCGCCGCCGTTTGACCTGCCCTGCTCTTTGCGAGGCTCTCTGTCGCCGCCCCTGGCCCTGTTGTTGTCGCGGCTGTCCCTGGGTTCGCGGTTGTCCCGGGGTTCGCGGTTGTCGCGTCGGTCTCGGCCTCCACGCCCTCCTCGTCCGCCTTGTCGACCCCCGCGACGCTTGTTGTCGCCGCCATCATCACCGCCCTCGCGCTCGCGCTTGCGCGGTCCGCGCTCAGGGAGAGCCTCGTCGAGACCCCTCGGGGCAGCGCTCTCACCAAACTTCTTCGCGCGCTCCAGCTTCTTCAGACCCTCGTCGTCCTCGACCTTCAGACCAAACTTCTCTGCGCGCTTCCTGCGCCTCTCAATCTCCTCGTCGAGGTTTGTGGCAGCCAGACCCTTGGTGAAGTCGGGCGCGGGTTCCTTGACCTCCTCTGCCTTTGCCTCCTCACCCTCTGCAGGCGGCTGTACGGTCAAGTCATCGGTTTGTGCAGGATCGATGTCGGCGACCTGGTTGGGGACAGCTTGTGGGTTGGACGCTTCTCCTTCACCTCCAGCCTTCTCGACCGTCTCCGCGTTTGATGTTACGGGGACATCGGCCTTTGCAGCGGGAGCGGCAGTCTCTTCGCCATCGTCGTCCCAGTCAATCTCGTCTTCGGCGTTGGTAGCGGGCGCGGTCGTCTTCTCGTCGTCCTTGGTGAGGCGATCGACCATGTCGGCCTTCTTTCCGGTCGCAGGCAGACCGCGGCTCTTGAGCAGTGCCTCGAGCTCGGCATTCTTCATTTTTGTGTATTCTGGCATTTTGTGTGGTTGATTCGATCGGCGACACAGATGAAGGTGTTGGTGAGTCTGGCGCGACGCGGATAGGGGACGCGCAGTTGAGAGTTACGTGGCCGTATTTGGGGTGACTGGTAGTGTTCAATGTTAGAGAGCGTCCAGGTGACGGCGGGCGCATGCAAAAGAGTGCGCTGGAACGAATTGTGACAAAGGCGCTGCTGCTTCTGTGATGGAGACAATGACAGGGCGCGTTGATGGAATCAGCGAATCTCGAGCACTGACCTCAGCCAAGCCGCTAGTCACTAGTGTGGTCCCTGGAGATCCACTGAGGAGCTGCAGCTTCATATCCACAGTTTGTACCAGTTGGCCTCCATGTTCAACATGCACACCAACAAAATGCTTTCGAGAGAATGGGCCATTTCCGCATCTTCTGTTACATCTTCGCTGCCGCGATGACCACGAGCGGCGTGTTCGGCTGACTGCCCAGATGGCAATACTCGATCACAAGACAACCTCCCAGGACTCGACATCTAGACGAGGAATTCCCGGTCTTCTGGTCTATCTAGACATCCTCATCAGATGCATTCGGTTACGCTTATTTCAGCAGGGAAAGAAACCCGCAGAGTACAGCCTACATGTACACTATTGACACGCTACATCGCACGTGGAACTCTAGAGAACGTTACAGCGAAGTATAATTGCTCCTTCATCGAGCGCCTGCTCAACACCTACAAGGGGTTGTCGCAGTCAATCAGCATTACAACGCGCTATATCGTACATACTTCAGAAGTATTCTGGTCCTTCAATCCCCCCAATTATCCACCCTTTCAAACTCTCTTTGCCATCTGCCACCCTGCGACATCCATCCTTGTGACGCCAAACATCAGCGCACCGGGCCAGCAGCATGACCCCTGAGAAGACATTCAATCCCCAAAACCTCCCACCATTTGCATCAACAATAGCCCCCGCGATTGGAGCCCCGACCAGTCCCGCAAACGAGATGCACGCGAATGTGACGCCGACGCGTACGCCAATCTGCTCCACGGGCGAAATATGTGCAATCTGCGCGGGTAGTAGTGAGACAAACGCGCCTGATGCAAAACCGTAGAGCGCGGCGAAAATGATAAACGCGGCGTTGCTGGCCGCGGGAATACCCAGTGCAAGCACGACGATACCCGCGATGGTGCAGAAGAGGACTTGCATGTTGAATCTACCCAGCCTGTCGGCAAGGAAGCCGGGAATGATGCGGCCGAAGATGCTTTGTCTACTGTCAGCCGTGATCGAAGTGAAGAGGGAAGGGTCTGCTCTTACCTGCAAGCATTAAGAACGGAGAGGAGATAGCCTGCAAGCCTCGCACTCATGCCGGAGTTGAGCGCCTGGACTTCGATGAAATTTATCGGTACGAAGAGCCCGAAGAAGAAGAGGAATGCGGCCAATGTGAGCAGGTTGAAGCGCGTGTCTTTGAAGGGCTCGAGGAGAACTTGCAGCGTAAGGGAGCGCGGCTTGGGAGGGAGACGAGATGTGACCGTTACGCAGGCGACCATCATCAGCGCGAGGATGGTAAATGCGATGATGCGCATCGTCCACCCAAAGCCAACCGAGGGGATGAGGTGGGACGCCATGATGGGAAATATCACGCCGCCTAGTCCGCTGCCTGCTGCCATGACTCCGTAGGCTAGTCCGCGCCTCTTGAGGAACCATGTCGGTATCGTGCTGGTCCCAGCCTGGACTGCGATGTGTTAGTACTCATCTCCCCTCACCCCTGCTCAGAAACGTACATATACAATTCAACCCCAACGGCGAACACACCCCCTGCGCCAGCATGAACTGCCAATACTCCTCACACAAACTCGTCATCATCAGTCCCAGCACATGCATCACTGTGCCCACTAGCAGCAAGTACTTGGGCCCATGGTTGTCATTGAACCACCCGACCACCGGCCCTGGTATGAAGAAGACGAATATCTGCACCGACGGGATCCACGCTATCGTAGAAGCCGAGTATGCGGAAAGCTGGTGGCGTTGGTAATAGTTTTGGAACACTCCCAGGCAGTTGAGCCACCCGAATGAGCAGAAGAGACAGCAGAAGCCGCCGAGAAGGCAAAGATAGGCTTGTTTGCCGCCGTCGGGGAACTGGCTGGGGGAAAGTTAGTGTGATGCGGGCTTATGTTCACTGGCGACTTACCTTGGATGCAATGGACTGAGAGCTGCTGGTGCTTCTTGATTTGAATCTGCTTCATTGCCTATAGGAGATGGGTGGTCCAAGTCGTTTTTCTCGTCGTCGGGACTGTGTTGCTTGAGCGATGCGGACCCCGCGAGGGTCGAGGGCTGCGACATTATACAACGACTTGACTAGCCAAACGTAAGATAACAATCTACTCGTAAATTGAACAAAATTCCGCGCTTGTTATCGTGTACTGCCCACTGATTCCGAACCAGCATCAGACAACCAATGTCAACTGTGGATGTGCAGCAAGGACAGTAATGTTTATAACCCATGCACGCCGTCCTGCGACTCACACTGTCAAGTCCGAGATATCCGATCTCCGTGTGCAGGGTTCCAGTCTGGTCTGGACGGAGGGCAGTCGTGGCTCGCGCAATTGAATCTCCGAGGCCGAGCTCGCTCTACTCAAAGCGCGAAGCTTCGCGACTCGGCTTTTACACCGAATATAGCCTCTGTTCGGTCAGATAATACATGAGATCGAGCGAGGCAGGTAGAATTGTTTCTTCGTGGGATCATAGAGAGCGAGGTATGTCGAACAAGGCGATGGTAGTGTACCAGTAGAACCAAGTTTTCAGCTCCCTGAACGCAGACAGAGACTTGCCATTCCCCCACCAACTCAGGTTCGGAAATAAAATAATATTACAATGCATACTTATCAAGTCTACTCAAACATACAACTAGCACGCTCGCCGAGAATGCTGCAATCCCAATCGAAACCCCGAACGATGCTCTTCTACCCATCTACTCGATCCTCTTCTTGCCCTCCTCCAACCCTAGTAATCTCGCATCGCTCTTGCCACGCTCATGTTTCGTACCCACCAAGCCACCGACAACAGGGTTCTGCGACACTTTGGACAATTTCTCTTGGTAAGCTTCGATCTGCGAGGGGAGGCGGTTGAGTTTGGGCCAGTTGACCTGTGCATGGAGTGAGTCGGTGGCATCAATGTCACGTGAACGAAACTTACGTAGAGAGTCCCGTTGCTCCAGATGAAGTTGAGACAGGGCTGCAGCTGTGCCTAGGCTGAGGAGCATGAGGAGTCGCAGGGGCCATGTGGCGGCGTCGGGTGCGCGACGCGTTAGCGACCCGACGAGGATGAAGGAAGATGCTCGCAGCGAAGATATACGGGACCGATTGGGATGAAGATGGGTCTTCGGTCGGCGAAGAGTAGTTGCCCTCCAATCGCCGAGTCGCTGGGCAGGTACGTGCCTAGGAAGAGATCGAAAGCATCTTGTCGCGGTCCGTCGCTGAAGTTGTTGAGGCAGTACCGCGTGATGGAGTTGTTGAGATCTTGCAACGCTCCCGCCTTGGTCCTGACGCCCAACCGTGTGAAGTCCGTCTTGAGCGCACCGGTGCCAGAGTACGATTTCGATACCACATCCGCGTTGTCGGCCCATACATTGCGGAACAAAAACTCGAATTGCTTGTCTTCTTCCGCAGACTCGCCTTCGCGCATCAATCCAAGGTCAATGAGCATGCGCGACAGGATGAAGCGACCAATCATGCTTTGCACCACGTTCGTTCGGTCAAGACAGTCCATGCAATTCGTTCGTACCACGGCAGTTTGGTGCCCACGGACCTCGACGCGACCTGCATCACCAGGCATATCGACACCACGGAAATAGCCGTGCTTCAGAACATGGGGCGCGAGCTGGTCCATGAGGAGTTTTGCGCGATGCCATTGCAGGCCCTTTGTTTCGTTGTGGAAATCAAAGTAGACGTAGTGTATGCGGTCGTATGCCGTTTGAGCATTGCTGGGCTCGATGACGTGGAACTTCTCGTCGGTGATCTTATCGCCTTCGGTGTTCTCGACGGGCGAAGTGTGCAGGTACTCGACCATCTCCTCGTATGCCTCCTTGACGCGCTGCTCACGGCCTTTCTGGTTGACGAGGTTGACGAGCCAGTTGTCGCCGTATAGCCGTATTTGCTCTGCGAAATGCTTCTTCGCAGCTGGCACGGCGTTCTCGACACCGCGCACCTGAAGCGTTGGGGTGTATTTCAGTGTGTTGATCTCGGTCCAGTATACGGGCACACTTCCCCTGGTCTGGACGTAGGCAAGCACCTGCGTCTCCTTGCCTGCATTGCCGCCCGCTGCGCCATTCTGGTTGGAGCCGAACCCGCCCGGGCCGCCAGATGCGTTGTCGTTGAGTATGATGGTCTGTTCCGTCTCGTTGAAGTTGGAGACATTTCCGTTGTCGTCGATGCCGCGCGAAAAGTATCTCGTCCCAGCCTTGAGTCGCGACCGGCGGGTGATGAGGATGAAGGTCAGCGCAGTGCCCTTGATGGACGTGTTCTTGATCTCCAACATGCCGTACATGACGGGCAGGATGTAAGGGTCCACATCGGGCTGCTGGCCGCTCGAGTGCCTGCCGTAGCCAGTGCTGAGTCCCCCACGGAAGTCGATCAGGTCGCTCTGCACGAAGCGGTTCCAGAAGAAGCGGTCGTCGGCGCGCTTCCACAGTGGGGTCGAGGGGTCGGAGTGTGCTTGGCGCTGGAAGCTGTTGGTGATGTCGAAGGAGTAGGAGAAGAACAGCGGCGACGTCTTGATGAGGCTCTTGAGCAGGCCAAGGTAGTTGTCCTCGTCGGGGTCGTGCAGTGGGCGTTCGCGGAGTGGCAGGAACTCGGTGGTGATGACCTTGTAGATCATGTGACCCTTTATCCTGCCCATGGGCTGGGCCTTGGTGATGACGATTATGTACTTGTCTTTGCACGCATCAGCTTCCCGCCCTGTCTGAACAGCACATTTCACGTGTACCTAGTCGCAGCTTGATGATGCCGAGAATGCCTGCAATGCTCGACACGCGCTTGGAGCCCAGCAGCTTGCCATCGTGAAGGCGAATGTCACCTGACGGGCGGTCGATTACCAGCGTCGGCGCAGAGGGCGAGGATGGCGACGAGAAGGCATAGTGCGAGGGCGACGAGTGGACATTGATGTCGCGGAAAGGGAGGGCGGTGCTCATGGCGGGTGCAGTAGCTCCGGGAGCTGTGCAGAGAGCGGTGGGCTTCGTTTTGAGTATATCAGACCAGCAATGCCTGCGTTGCCGTGTGCTGGGTTGGTGTAGTCGCAATGTGTTTTCTCCAACGGCCGCGGCTTCGTCATGGCCCACTAGGCACGGCGATTGCAGGGGTCTGGCGGTGGTGGTGCCAAGGCGCAGTTCGTCACAGAGCAACGACCCGTGCACCCAGCATTCATCTGCAACTGCACTGCACCGTAGTCTTCCACCTCCAACCCTCCTGAACACCGCTCACCGCCCACCGCCCCGAGTGAATCTTCCGCCTCATTGCGCATCCTCGACGCCTCGTCCCAAACCCCTCCACGACCCGGAAAGCGCCGCGTCACTACATCTCCCACCATGTCGGCCAGAGTGCAGCAGGGACAGCGGCCTGGAGGCTCCGGCTCCCGGTTCGCCCAGTTCAAGCTGGTGTTGCTCGGTACGGTACCGTCCCATGTGTGTTCACGTGATCAGTGCTAACAGGTGCAGGTGAATCCGCCGTCGGAAAGGTGCGCATACACATCGGGGCAAGGCAGCCATGGGGTAGCTAACATGTCTCCAGTCCTCACTCGTGCTGCGCTTTGTCAAGGACCAATTCGACGACTACCGAGAATCCACCATCGGAGCCGCCTTCCTCACCCAGACCATCGCCCTCGACGAGAACACAACCGTAAAGTTCGAGATTTGGGATACCGCCGGCCAGGAGCGCTACAAGTCGCTCGCCCCCATGTACTACAGGAACGCAAACTGCGCTGTAGTAGTATACGACATCACACAAGCCGTACGTGATAGTGCGTTTCCGAATGTATTGCACAACTGACACGTCCCAGGCTTCACTAGACAAGGCCAAAGCATGGGTCAAGGAGCTGCAACGCCAGGCCAACGAGAACATCATCATCGCCCTTGCCGGCAACAAGCTTGATTTGGTCACCGAGTCACCTGACAAGCGCGCCATCCAGACAGCCGACGCGGAGCAGTATGCCCGCGAGGCCGGCCTCCTCTTCTTCGAGACCTCCGCAAAGACGAGCGAGAACGTCCGCGAACTATTCACAGCCATCGCCAAGAAGCTACCGCTCGACCAAGCCGGACCACGCAACCTGAGGCCCGGCCAACAACGGGCAGGTGTAAACCTCAGGCCCGAGGCCAACCAGACCCAAGGACCTGGAGGCTGCAACTGCTAGGTGTTCTACGATGTCGTGGTTTAATGTACAGGCAGACTGCGTCGTGTGTACTTTGTACCAGTGAGCGAGTCTGCGCCACCCAACGAGTTACAATTTGGCATGTTACCATCTCCCATTTCGCGTTTCCGTTTCCCGTGGACATATCTGGGCCTCTGGAGTAAGGTTTTTCGATTACTGCAGATTCTGCTGTGAGTTACAGAAGAGACATGGGGCTACCTGACCAATCTATTTAATGATTTCAATATCCATATTTGCACAATTCACGTCATTCTCAGCTGTCAACGTCGTTCCCTCATCATGCTCACCTCGCACCATCAGTGGGATGCTTTTCAGCTACGTTGGACAAGTCTGCGTCTCAGGTCGTATCGGCGACATCCGCGCAATCCTGTGATCGAGACATTGAAGCCACCTCGTCGCTCAAGAATACCTGCAAGTTTACTGCAAGAGTCATGAAGACGTCTATCCACATCCTGATGTAGCGTCCTCCTAGCAAATCAAAGTCATGTGCGACGCGAAACGCCACAGTCTGTAACACGTCATTAAACATCCATCTGACTAGGCCAGTCTAGTAGAAGTCTACCGGACTCCGGATCCTTGTTCTCGTATTGGAGGGTTACCAACAAACCTCCTGTCTCTATCCTTGATCGGTATCGTACTGATACTTGAACAGTTGTCGTGTCGCAGGACGCCACGATCAAGTAGCACGCAGGGACGATGTCAGCAGTGTACAGCGATGAAGCAAACCTCCTTGATGGGTTTTACGTCACTCCATACTACGAATATGGTTCACTGGGCATCGCGTCTTACTACCTACATCCTCAATCAGCCCTAGATGCTAGGCTAGCCGTTCGTGCCACTCCACGGACAGCCGCACCGACATAGGTAGGTCCCGACACCCAGGTCTTGGATCCCAATCACAGCCGCATTCCTCGCTACACATGTGTGCATGTTTCGCAGAAGCAAGACCATGTCTGAGTCTGGGTGTTGGGCTGTTAGCTCGTACAGGCAGTCCACAACATCACGTCTGCCATGGACACCGTACAGCTCAACATGTATATAGCCCAACGCCATCTTCGCCAGAAGAAGTCACTGCTCACCACAAAGATCGCATTCGGTCTCTTACTCCACACTCGCTCGAACAGGCATTTCCAGTTCTGACAGCCACATTCGCTTCACACCGCCACCATGCACTTCTCCATGCTCCTCACTCTTGCCTCCATGGCTCTCGCCCTCCCCTCCCCTTCCATTGCTCCATCAATGCAACTCTACGTGTCCCGATTCCAAGCTCGCACCTCCCCCTCCTCCAACTCGACCTCGTTCTACGTCGCCGACTCCACCGAATCAAACATCCACTATTGCACCGGATCCCTGGGCAACCCCAACACATGGCAGAAGTGCACGTGCCGCAAGGGCAGCGGCGAAGATATGGCGTTTCAGTTTGGTGAGGAAATGAGTAGATTGGGGTTGAGGAAGGGTTGGATGGATGGGGCTGGGTGAGTACAAGATGATTATGAGCGCGGGAGAGTGGGGCTAATGTGTTTTGGTGGTAGGATGCCCATAACGGGATTCGCTGATGGCCAGACGAATTGGTGTGATGAGAAGGGAGGGAATGTTACGGTGAAGGGGAAGGAAAGGTTTTATCAGAGGAGGAAGGAGTGGATTTTGACGATGGATAAGTTGTCGGCATAAGGGATGGGGGAATGATGGATGTATGGATGCGGAGTGTGTGAGTAGGCGCGAGCAATATGGGATTTTTGGGTTTAGAGTTCTTGGCTTCTCGTTTATTTTGGGGTAGGGACGAGGCAACAAAAGGGGAGAAGAAAACATGTTTGCGAGTTGGGGTTTTGTGCTTTGCTGCATTTAATAGACTTTGGAGCAATATATTGCGATTTGCTGCGAACTTTGACTTTGGGAGTGCGTTGAGCATCCTCTTTCCATACAGACAGTTTCGAAAACCTTTTTTTTTGGTGACCGGGTATGTCAAGCGTGACTCTCCCTCCTATATAAGACGAGGCACACGCACGTGATGTTCGCGTCTCGCTAAACCAACTCGAGTGAAGTTCGCAGCACGACGCGTCTCTAGCCTCACAACCTCCAACGTCATGTCTAGCAAACCTCACTCAAGGTGCTCCCTAGAGCCCCATCCCACATCAACATGGACGCTTCCAGCCCCCCATCTGCTCCACCACCCCCCGTCCCCGACGCCCTCCTCCCCGCCCTCAAAAGATACGCCCACCTCTGCATGCCCCTAATCACCGCCATCGTAATGGCCATCATCAGCGCCCCAGACCGCCCCACCCCCTGGCTCCTCTTCGCCACCTTCGCGCTGCCCACATACCTGCTCGCATCCATGATATACCCGGCGAATCGGGAAGTCCCCGACCACGTTGTGCGATTCACGCGGCGCCACGATGCGTTCCGCGCACTCGTGCTGTTCATGTACGGCCGGGCTGTTCGGCACGCCCTTCAACCTGCAATTCCTGATTGCGGACTACATCGCGAGTTACGTGCTGGGCTACGCGATCGGCGAAAAGCCGCATAAACGGCACTCGGAGTTGTTGCTCGCGCTGGCCTGGGTCGGCGCGAGCGCTCTCGTCTTGAATTATCTGCTGCCGGGAAATTTCTGGGTCACGGTGGCGGATCGCGCGATTTGGCGGGCGGCGTGGCTGGCGCTGGTGGATGATGTTGTCGGGGCGCTGGAGAGGCCGGATGTGCGGACGGCGGGGGGTAGGGCGAGGTTGGTGATTGTGCAGGCGGGGGTTATTTTGGGGGTGGTTTGGTGGTTGCAGGCGGTGGCGAGGAGGGGGAGGGAGATTAGATTGGGGGGTTGATTGAGAGATGGGACATTGTGACTTTCACGACTCACAGATGAGTTTCAACCCTTGGGAAGTGGACTGCGCTCATGTGCGACGACGGTTTGCTTCCGATTGCTTGATCTGCTGAGCACAGAAGACGATTGCGACGTCTGGTCCTGGGTGGGAATGGTACGTCAGTCATCGCAAAGACGCTTCCGTCTTTAAGAACTTGAGTCACCTCATAGTGCTTCTCGGTATCATGGCGTCTTACAGTCATAAGCATAACCACCTCTTCATATCTCTCATTGCGAGCAGATGATGAGTAGTTGGACGGCATTTGGTTGAGAGCTCATGCACTCCCAGCATGCAGATGTTGGGAATTAGCAATGGAGAGTTCGTCATACTGACTAGAAAAGAAAAGTTCATTCGAATTTGCGATCAACCGCAATACGCTACTTCACTACCTAAACCTGTACTACTAACGCCTTGAGCATCTTCCCGAACTCCGAACAATCAATAACTCTCTCCACGCTCATCTCATACCTGCCAAACTCCCGTAACCGGGTCGCCAAAACTGCTGCCAAAACCAAATCGCCACCTAGCTCAAAGAAATCGCTGTGGTACTCCAACGCCGCAGTCTGTTTCTCATCAAGACCCAAGATCTCGCGCCATAGACCTGTCAACACCGTCGTCATCCCGCCGTCTTCCTCCAGCCTGAAGCCATTCGCGAAGCCATTCGCGAAGCCATTCGCATAGCCACCCTCACGACCCAGCGGCAACCGCACCGCGCTCTCACCGCCTAACACCTCCCCAACACTCCCCCCTACCACGCCCCACCAACTCTCGCGATCATGTCGCATAACACATCGAAAACCCCTTCCCACTCCCCCCTCCCAACCAACACATCCGAGCATATCATCATCACCTCCACCACCTCTCCGCCCTGCTTCGGCGTCGTCTTGATCGCGACATCCGCCTCGTCAGCCGCGGGACACCACGCGCCCATCTCGCCGGCCTCGCTCTCCTCGTCGATGTTCTGGTGCTGCACGATGCTGCTGAAACGCGTGTGGGCCGGCCACGCCGTGCACTCGCGGATGATGGAGCGTGTGCCGAGGGCCGCTTCAAACGGGAAGCTCGCCGCGTGCTGCGCCTGCAAGTCCTGCAGCAGCGCGAGGATCGAGGCGTCCTCGCGCACGTGGATGCGCACGGGGACGATGTTTATGCACGCGCCGATCAGGGATGTGAGGGATGGCGGGCGGCCGGAGACGACGAGCCCGAAGGTTATGTCCGGGCTGGACGAGAGGTGGGAGAGCGTGAGGGACCAGGCGAGTTTGAGGATTGTGGCAAAGGTTATGCCGTGCGAGGCGGTGAGGGCAGACGGGGTGGGGATGGTGCGGGTGAGGTGCGTGTTGTAGATGTTTTTATATGACGGCTTTGCGGAGGTGTGTTTGACGATGGGAGCCATGACTGAGCCGCGAAGGAGGGAACGCCAGTGTTCTGCGGCGGAGGATTGCGTGGCTGGCGAGGATGCTGGTGAGCGGAAGTACGGTGCCATGGATGAGAGTTTGGACTCGGACTTTTTTGCTTTGCCAGTTCCCGGAGAAGAGAGAGTTTAGGAGCGCCGGGAGGCAGGGAGGCCGTCGTATTGTGCATGGGGAAATGCGCCATGATAAGCCGGTATGAGGCGTTCGAGCCTGCTCTGCGCACTACGAAGAACTTCAGTAGCGGATCAGACATCACCACTGGGTGCTCGGTGTCATGTTTGCAGATCTGGTTGGTGAGCGGTTCCATGTCGTCTGCGGCCTCGTGCCATTCGATCTCGTACGGTAGGTCCCGAAGCACCGTCTGCACGATATCTGCTCCATGTACGGTGAATACCGTACGAAGAATCTCGTGCTGAGTAACGAATCCTTTGAGAGCGGCAGTGATTAGCTTGGTGTCCGCATTGCCATTGCGGTCCACCCAGAGATAATTTCTGAACCCACGAGTCTTCATCATGGCATACGCAACCGCGTTCTTCTGGAAGTCTGTTGCTGGCAGAACGTCGACGATGTTGTCCTCAGTAGTCTTGATCTGCGCCGCCAGCTGCTGTATCAGCTTGATGCGTAGCTGGCTCGTGATGATAGAGAATGACTTGTACGGCGCAACATCCTCTTTCTCCTCTATGCTTGTGCGTCCATCGAGGACCTTGGCCATGTCCGACAGAGCAGGACACGTGAAGAAGTCTGTGACTGACAGTTGGATGCCTCTTTCCGCTGCTGCCGATACCAGCTTGATAGCAAGAATCGAATCGCCACCGATTCGGAAAAACTGGTCTTCGGTGCCAATCGTCTCGGCGTCTACGCTCAGGATTTGAGCCCAGATGTCGCGCAGGACATGTTCCGTTTGAGTTGATGGCTGCTGCTTCTTCTCTCCCGCCGAGGTCTGTAGACCATACTCGAACAGCTGCTCCCTGGTCAGTGTTGAGACCAGTTCCTTGAGCTTGCGGCGGTCCGTCTTCCCATTCATCGTCAGCGGCACACGGGAAATGGGTATGAAGTAGTTGGGTAGCATGTAGTGTGGCAAGACCTTCGAGAGCGAAGTTTGCAATGCCACCAGGTCTTCCTTGATCGGATCCAGAGGAAGAATGCGAGTTTCTTCATCCGCCGTAGCGCTGGGTTGGATGTATGCAATCAATGCAGTCCGGCTATCAAGGCTCTCTGGGCGAGCAGAGTCGACAACAAGATGCTCCAGTGTAGGAAGTTTCGAGCGGATGACGTGTTCGATTTCACCAGCCTCGACTCTCTGACCGCGGATCTTCATCATGGTGTCTTTGCGTCCAACGAAATGTATCGTTCCGTCTTCGTTGTACCGGACCAGATCTCCCGTGCAGTAGAATCTTTTGGGCTTGTCGCCACCCTTGGCCCAAGCAGGAGAAGTAACAAATGCAGCTGCTGTCTTCTCTTCGTTATGTAGATACCCTCTGGCGACAGTAGGCCCTTCCAGTAGTAGCTCACCCGTGCACCCGATAGGCACAAGTTTGTTGTAATCCGTAGGATCCACGATCCAGTTCAGCACACCGATGGGAGATCCGATATCAGCTGGATCACTCGAAGCTGTTGCAGGTGGTGCGCTCGAGGAGTATACTGTAGTTTCAGCTGGTCCGTAGCACACAATAAGGTCCAGTACACTGTGCCACTTTTCGACGATGGCTCTAGTGCTAGCTTCGCCGCCAAGAACAAGTTTCCGAAGGCTAGGGATACCCTCAGTCGACAGCAGTGATGCGACCGTGGGAGTCAGGAAAGCCCAGTTGCACTGGTATCGGTTGATGGCGCCTGCAAGATCATTGAGACGTTCGTTTTCAGATGGCACACAAATACAGCCACCTCTTTGAAGGGTGGTGAAGATGTCAGCTGCTGAGACATCGAACTGGTACGCTGCAAATTGGAGAAGGCGAGTCGACGGCCCAATGTCCCAGACCGTTCCATGCGCCTTGCTGCTGGAGCAAAGACTGCGATGCTCGATGACGATCCCCTTGGGAGCTCCGGTCGATCCAGAAGTAAACAGAACGTAGGCTGGATTTTCAGGGCTGATGAGAGGTAGAGAAATCGGTCCTGTAAGAGGCAGGTTGGAGAGGTACTGCCCGTCGATAGCGATTGTCGTCAGGCCGGCTAGATTTTCGAACTTCTCTGCGAGGTGAGAAGCTACCAGAAGGACTTTACCTTCAGTATCGTCGAGAATGAGCTGAAGACGGTCTATGGGTTGAGCTGGGTCTAGGTTGACAACGGCACCGCCCGCCTTCATGACGGACAGTTGGGTTACCACCGCCCATACAGATTTCTGGAAGGATAGTGGGACCAAGACTTCCGGGCCTATCCCGTAGTCCTGGTTTAGCTTTGTAGCTAGTGCGTTCGACAGGCGATCCAACTCAGCGTAAGTGACTTTACCGTCCCATGCATCAATTGCAAGTGAGTCAGGTCGTAGTTTGACTTGCTCTGCGAATACTGCGGGTACATTGGTCTCCAGAACTTCTGGGTATGTGTTATTCCAGTCCAGAATCTGACTCATTTCCTCGGCGGTAAGCATGGTGATGTCTTGCATTTTTGTCGTCTTTGTTGCTTGCTGGAAGCATGACACAATTTGCTCAAAGTGACCGAGAATTCTTTCCACTCGACTTTTTAGGATAACAGTCTGATCGAACCGGACTTCGACGCGGACGTCCCCCTCATAAAGGCTACACTCACAGACTAGCGGGTACGTATCGAAGCTGTTCAGGGTGAGAGCCACTTCTTCCGCACCAAGTAGCTCCTCTGGTTTGATATCGAATCTTTGAGCCATGGGCTGGACGATGAAGAGATTCTGGAACTGCACGGCCGCGGCCGTGTCTGCATCGATGTTGGCAATGTTCTGCAGACCGAAATGCTCGAACGGCATCATGTCCATCGCCAGGTCCTGAACTGCCTTCAAGAAAGCCCATACAGTGACCTCTCCTGTAGAGATGCCCATTCGAACTGGGACTGTTGTGATGGTGGGGCCAGCGATCTCTGTGATGCCGTCAACTGGACAGCTGCGGCCCGAAAGGGTGGTTCCGAACACTATGTCGTTGTCCTCGCCGGCGTCAGAGTATTGAGCGAGCACGTACGCCCATGCAGCTCTAAGCAGCGTCGCTGTTGGTACATCGGCGTCTGAGTACAACTTTATTGCGATGTCTTGATGCGCCACCCCATCCACTCTGTCGCGGTGAGTATGAGCAGCCGCTGGAGGTTCTGGGTAGGCAATGATCGGCTTCCCACCTGATAGAGACTTTTTCCAGTAAGCCTTTGCTTCATCATGAGCTGTAGAAGTGATATATCTGACGAAACTGTTGAAGCCAGGAGTGCTCGGCGATATCTCATTCCTGTAGAAAGCACGGACTTGATTAAGGATCAGAGGCAAAGTCCAGCCGTCGTAAATGGAGTGATGTGCTGTCCATATGAAGTGGCCATCCGCAGTGATGCCGTATCGTGACAACGGCGACCCGAAAGTGAAGCTATCCTTTTCGTCCTGATCAAGATACTCCTGCAGGGTTGAAGCCATACACCACAAGCTTGCGGAGTTGCGCTTGAGCACAACCTGCAATCAGGCGCGCATTTTGACGTTCAACGATGGTCGTACGCAAGATTGGGATGTTCGCGACCGTTCTCTCCCAGGCCTCTCTGAATTTTGGCAGGTCGAGAGAGGCTGGCAAATAGAGAACCCTGCGCAGAACATAGGATCCAGGATTAAG